GCTTACAATTAACAAATGGAGAAAATGCTTAAATGGTCAGTCTTCATATTCATTGTATTCATTAGAGATCACAGCTAGGGCCTGTAACTGGATTAATTTAATCATTGGATATAGCCCTATGTTAATATTATGTAAGATACCTGAAAGTTCATAAACATTTAAACATTGTACTATTTTAAAAATTAAATGCGCTTAACGCAATGATAAAATCAGATGATTAAATCTTACCTAGTAATTGAAACTGGGTTAACCATAAAAAAGTAAAGTCTTTGTTTTAAAAAAATTGAAAAATTCGGAAATCTCCTTACATAATTTAAATTGATGAAAAATTTATTATGTTTTTAAATTCTATTACTTAACAACTTTTTAAAAATTGTTGTATTGCAAAAACGATTACGCAATCTTCAAAATTCCAAAAATTAAGATGTTTTTAGCAAATATGTTCCATTTTCATTCTGAAAATTCTGACATTCATTCTTAAAATTCAAGCTTATTAAATATGAAAATCTCACAGTATTATTCAGCTTACTTGTCAGGTATGTCGTGTAATCTACAGTTATCCTCTTAAATTTTTAAAAATTGATTAGTAGGCCAAGTATCGATTTTGAAATAAAAATTCCTACTTGTATGTTGAAAACTCGAAATTCATGTTAGGATCAACATTTTCCGAAACCAATGTAAAGAATACGATACTTCAAACATTTTGCGATAGCGGTGGCAACAGCTCCAAGACAGTCTTTCCAGCTTTTAAAAATACTTTCTTAAGTGTTTCAGGCAGAACCTGCAAAATTTATATTCTCAGACCTAGAAAATGAGGAAAAAGCCAGATCGCTGGTAACCGTGAAATTTTGAGAACCCATTGTTTGAGTTTTTCAGAAAATGCGCTTTTTGAAGCTCCTTTTTGCTCTAAACGATTGAGTTCTCAAGAAACTTCGTAAGAAAATATTTTAAGTAATTGTACACCCAAGTTGAATAATGTATTCAAAATTGCTTGTATTGTATGAATTAACGGCAAGAGTGGCACCTATTTCAAAAACATTAGAGTGGTGTAATTTTTGAAAAAAGAATACGTGCAAGTGGCATTTGGTCACGACATTTAATCCATTTAACACTATCTGTTAAAAAAATTAAATTAAAAAACAATTGGAGCCGATTTCAAGGCGTTTGAACGTTTCTGAAAGTAAGTAATTTTTAGTTCATTTTGACCAGGTTTAATAAACATGATTTTTTTTTTTTGGTAATGGAAGAACTGTTTTTTTAAAATTCAAATTAATTTTTTTAAATGTCAATGTGATATTCATGTTAGGTATAGTTTTTAGATATCTGGAAAAAGAGAATAAGAATTAAAGATCTCAATAGAACAGGGTTACCATACATTGTCGTAGTTCTGAGATATTAAGGGTTTTACTAGAACTTTCATAAAATAACTCTGAAACCATGGATCAGTAAATTCTTCCTGGAATATGTTTTTATATTTATCAAGGCAACTTTCTGCAAATAATGAGAAAAAATATTAATATCTCATTAAATTTTTTTTAGGTTTACAACAGTTGTTTGTGTTTCACCAACATTGGTGGTGTTCGTTAAACACATTCCCTTGCAAGAAAAAGACTTTATTCGTCTAACTAAATATGAATTTTCGCTATTATAATTATCCAGTTTATAGAAATCACAAAAAACATAATTTTTTTCAAAATTTGAATCTGACGCAAATGTATACCTTTCTCTTTTGCAAGGGTTAATGTCAACACTCATTTGGCGGGCTCAAACTTCCGTTTTTTAAAAATATATTCTTCTCCACTATTCCCTGCCTTGTAATATTTTCTTATTAGTTTTCTTGATGTATTTTCCTTTTATTTGACCTTCACATTTTTAATCATTATTTGTAAAATTTCCTATAAATTCTGTTTTTGATTTAAATCAATGATTTTTTTGGTGAATCGTGTGATTTAAATCATCAAAACCCTGATTTTGACAGAAAAGTTTTGAGTATTTGAGAAACTTTATAACACATCACTTGAAGAACATGCACTCATAAATGCAATAATCTAAACTATTCACTGCTGATGTAAATATTAAGAATGTGAGAGAGATGTTAAAAAAATTACATTTGTGTAATTTTTGAAAACATTGAAGAATAGAGAAGAATGGCTGTTCACAGTAACAGTATTTTCTTCTGTAACGCTATTTCTACCAAACGTTTAAAGAATACTAATGCTAAAACAGTACGTACTTTCACCCCCGTATTTTCAAACAAAATTACGGGAAAAATAATCGTATGTTCGAAAAAATTGTATAAGACCTTATTTCAAAATCAAAGACTTTATTTCATGGAACAGATTTCATTAAGAGAAAAACATTTCTATCTTAAATTCCATTTGAAAGAAAAATTTTTTGTATAAAAAATTAATGAAATATTTATAAATATTTAAAACTTTCGCAATTTTCTTAAATTTAGAGTTAATGGTAAAAACGGACTTGTGCATCTTTGTAAGTTAATTTTACGCCATTCTTTCCAAAAATTTAAATATTAAAAATTTAAATTGTTTTAGGGTCTTCATGTAAAGTACCCCCCAAAATTATCGTTCGATTTATGTCTAATGGCACCTCAAGGTCAAGTTGTACTGTATTGACTCGTGTGGGTGGCAAGTGGTGAGCACATGGCTGCAGCCACCAGCCCCATGGAGGCTGTATGCTAACGTACAACACACGGGTGACTGGAGGTCCCTATTAGACATTATAAATAAATCGACCCCATTATAAATAAATCGAAGTATAATGGCGTACGTGGAAGTGAAAGTAAAAATTAAATTCAATAACTTCAACCAGATATTTTGCCAAAATACATATTTAAAAAATAATGTTCATGGCCTTGTTTAAAAGTCAAATTTTTTAGAACTTTTTGTTTGAGAAAAACCTGTCTAAAATAAACGTACTCTTGCTCCTGAATTTCTACGCCTCCGCTACTCTTGCTATTCTTTCTTGGCTCATATGACACTAATGTTGGTTCATTTGCAAAAGCAAAAATAGAATAGTAGCTTTCCTGTCCATTTTCTGGAGTTATAGTGGTATACGTTTGTTTTGCCACATTGTTCCAACAAGAATTATGTCCCGTTTCAGAAGCTTGTTACCCAACTGGTATGATGTAAAAAAAATTGTCAGAAGTTATCTTGTTACTCTTCAGACATAATGCTATTTCTAGCACAACTTGCGGCGGCAATTGTGTAATGGTTAGCATATCGGACTGTTATACACATGTTCGCAGGTTCAAGCGCGATTGAAGATTTTGAAGGGCGAAAAAATCCTTTGTACATCTTCCTTCGGAGGGGAAGTAAAAGCCCGCTGTCCCATGTTAGTAGATTTACTGCATGCAAAAGATCCTCAAGCCTATATGAAGCCTCTGAGCTAAATTCAAATCACCTACTTTGTCGCCCAAGAAATACCACCTCTCTCCTCTAACAGGTGAAAGGAGCATATCAAAATTTGCGTGGTCAGACGGAAGAGCTGGCCTGGGTCTCCCCAGAGAAAATAAGGCATCAATTCAATTCAACTTTTCTTCTCAGATTTTGTTCTCCAGGTTGCCCTTCTTAATTGCTAGTGTGTGTGGTTGAACATTCCACATGTAACCAGTTTCATTTTCTTTTAATTTTTTCACATCCTGAAATAATTACTAATATATGTGTCTCCTACTATTATTTTTTCTCTAAATATAGTATTTCTAATATGAAGTAATTAATGTTGGCATAGGTGGTATCTTAGAGTTCTTGATCAAAAATCAAAAGAATAACACTACTTTCAAGTTTTAAAATATGAAGTGTTTTGAAAGGGGATTAGAATATAATTGTAATGTAAATCTCCAATTTTGTTTTATACTTTGAATTTTATTTTGTATTCGGCAACTATTTTACTGAGCGTTTGAATCATTCTGATAATGTCTTAGACAGTATGAAATGTCATTTCAAATTTATTTGTAAATAGCCCACATTGTGTTTTTTTTTCTGACAAATTGTAGTGAAAATTGAATTGTGATGGCAGCGAAATTACATGATGAACATTGTTTCACTTCATATACAATTAAATTAACATGGGAAAACAACATAAATGAATAATTTTGTCAAAATTTTCCATGAATCCAAGTTTTCTTTTGGATGGAATTTTCAGTTATTGGCAATAGTACATAACACATCCATATGAATATAAATATAAGTAAATGAATATTTTTATGTGTAAAGAAATTACTATGCATTTTTCAAATTTTAACTGTGAATCGAATCTTTTTTTTTTCTTCTTCAAATTATCAAAAATATGGAAACTTGCCAAAATATATTAAAGAAAATATTACGGGTGTTAAAGAAAGTTCAAGATCCTGGGCAAAAATTCATAATTGCATACTGAATAATTATATGAGAGAAAATGATAGTACATATTTTAAAAGAATGCAAATGGATTTTCTTTATTTAGGTCATTGGTATAGTATAAATAATTTTAAATTTGTTTTGTTAGTCGCCGACGGTTTGCCCATGTATTGGTCCTTCATCAGGCCTGTAATTATTTTACTAGTAATTTACACAGGTTTGTTGCCATCTACTGTAACATTCACGTAAAACAATCTAATTCTGCTAGTTTGTAAATTATTATATAAAAAACAAAATATTGTTCGAAATATATAACGAAAAATTTGGGCAATGTGTTTTGCCAAAATTGTAATTTTAGGTCTGAACATAGACAAAAAATGTAATTGCAAAGAATCTGAAGTATATTACATGAATGCTACTATGTCATTAAAAGCTGTACTGATTTTATTGTGACACAAGGTTATTTTTTCTTTCAAAACTCATTTGAAATCCTTTTTTTATAGTTGATTCTAGGTAATTTATATGGCTTGGACATTTTGCATGTTTGTAGGGGTATTGATTTATTGATTCATCATTCTGTGAATTATGAAGAAGTATTCAGCTTAAGCTAGTTATAAGTAGTTAAATTGACTTTCGGTATTTCAGGAACAGATTCGTCTAATGCTGCCAAATTTCCTACAGCAACTGCAGAACCCTGAAGTTCATAACCTGATGTCCAATCCCCAAGCCCTGGGTGCGCTTATGCAGATCCAGCAGGGGGTGGAACAGCTACGAAATGTTGCTCCCAGCCTTGTGAACAGGTAATTACAAACAATTATTAAGCATTGGCTTTCATTTCGTAATTTGTATCTTTGCAAGTAAGCTGTATGCCAAACCAGTGCTCTTTTAATCATTTAATTTACTTTTTATTTTCGAAATCGTTTAATAGTTATTAATCTTTAATTAACTTACTCTATGGAGAGAAGAAGCCTACAATTCTTTAGACAGTATACCACAGTCAAAGAGAATGTTTACTTTTTAGTATTTGTACGTACTTCAGCATTGTTTATTGTTTCATCCATTTGAAACAAATCATGAAATGTAATTATTCAAATTTTAATATACCTCCTTTGAAACATGTTCTACAATAGGGGCTTGTAAATGTAATTTTTTTGTAATAATCCGCTCTATAATATATTGAAAGAATACTCTTTAGAACACTTATAGTAGCGATTAGATTAGGTTCTCCAACATTGTTTTCTGGGATGAGTGACTTTAGCCAGAATGAACACCCGACAAGAGTTGTACCACACTTCTTTTTTGTATTTTTTATTATTTAATTTTAATTCATAATACCTAATTTTTTAAGTTACGCTCAAGGATGAGAATACCAGACAACTGAATGATTAAAGTTTATTTTTATTCGGTACTGTGTAGTAGAAATTTTCAACTTATGGAAGTATTTTTAAAATAGTTGAAAATGTCGATGACACCATTCAATTTGTTTAAAATATTACTGATGTTTACCGACTTGGTTATTTATCAATCAGAATGATTACTTCATAGTATATAGTCTTGTCCTCATTAATATTTTTTAAGTACATATTTAGCCTCTCTACTGCTTACCTTAATTTTTTTGTAGAAATTGGTTGAAGCAATGTTTTTATTATGTGTTCATAGTAATATAAAAAAAGTATTATATTAAAATGTGGGAGCTAAAGTATAGATCATTCATCAGAAAAACTGATATTGTGCGTCCAAGATACCGAGTGATTTTTTTTACTCCTGCATTTTGAATTTTCCTCTAAAAATATAGTTAAAATCAACCCTTTGATAGCAAAAATTTGGTATTTCGCCAAAACGTCCGTTCTGTGAACAAGCACCTTTTTAATAAAAATGCTTGTTACTCCGGGGTCGGTCGGTCCGGTCGGTCCGGTCGGTCCGGTCGGTCCGGTCGGTCCGGTCGGTCCGGTCGGTCGGTCGGTCCCAATATAAGAAAGTACAAGTTTGAGAGAATAATTAATAGCCACACCGAATACCAAGCGAGATCACTCACGACCCCATAGAGAGAGATAATTGTAACTTTTTAAATGGTATAATTTTTGCTATTTATGCTACAAACGTGATGATCTATGACACTGTGACAATGTTAAAAATGGGCACTACTTATACTCGTTTTTCCATTAAACTATTCAATAGTAAACCTTTTGAGTCGCCTTGGACTCTGTTTGGTACTCAGAAGCTAAACTCTGAATTTCCGAAAACCGCAAAAGTTAGATTTTTTTTCGACATATTATTACATTATTTCTATTACAAAATTGAAGATAGAGATTTTTCCTTCAAGTAAATATTTTATGCATAGTTAGTAGTTTTTTAATTAAGGTCAAGTACATTCTTTCGAAAATGTTGGTGGTTTTCGCGCAATATTGCATGCTATATTAAAAATTACAAAAACCTTGAGTTTTCTGAAAATGTTTCCAATTTTTTTCATTAAAATTTTGGTGAAGTTAGTGCTAAATTAATGCCATTTGATGACATAAATGCCCTAATTGTTGCTCTATTCTTTAGTGTTTTTTTTTTTTTTAATGAAATAAATATAATTTTCTGACTTCTCATATTAATATTGACTTTTGCAGCGATTTCTTCACATTATTGATTTGTAGATTTAGCAACTCGTAATCAGAGCAGTAATTATGAAATAAGGCTACATTTGTTTTGTAATAAATGAGTAAAGTGATTGTTATTTTTTTATATTGTAGCATGGGCCTTGGTACAGTGCCATCATTTGGAGGAAGTACAACTGGTACCGGAACTGCAACAACTACTACAACATCCGCTGCTAATACAGGCTCAGTACCAAGCAGTCCTGGCACTGGTACTGGTGCAGGTACTGGTTCTGCTTCTGGCACTGGCACTGGCAATGGAGCTGCTGCAGCAGCCACTGGCACTACTGGTTCCACTGCACCAACCACTCAGGCTTCTTCCACCACTACTGCTCCCTCACAGACTCAGCAACAACAGCAGCAGGATGTGTTTTCACAGTTTATGGCAAGAATGGTGAGAATGAAAAAATATTTAAATGTTTGTTTTTTCTGTGATGTGAAATTGTTTCATGGAAATATTTTATTTAAATACAATGGATGCTGTAGATTACAGAGAAAGTATAACTTCATTATTTACTTTCTTTGCAATAACATTTTGGTTTTTAATTCTTAATATGTTTAGAAGATAAAAATGAAACATTGGAGTAATCGCAGATTAGAATTTTGAGGGGTGAATTAGTGAGTAATTTTCCCCGTGAAAGCAAAAATGAATCCTTATCCTTAATATTTGAAGATAAAATGGTACTTTGCTATGTGTGTCAGTTTTCATGGTAAGCAACTGGCATTTGCGATTATGAAAATGGATGCGAAATCTGAAAATGTGATTTTGAAAATCTTGTGTGATGAATTTTCCTCTAATACATTTTGAATCAAATAATCATGCAATTCTCACCAGATGTAAAGGTCACTTCACACTCAGTATTTGCTGATCAACGAGCTACTGTTCGCCCAAATTCCGAACGTATTTCGCAAATGTTGGCTCCCTTTGATGTGTCCTAAAGACTAACACGTAGTGGTTTGGGTGAGCACCGAATGTTTGTCACTTGGCAAATAGCAAGGAGCTCATCCACACTACTCTGTGTTCGGCGAGCGGTTTCTCGCTAGTCACCAAATAACGAATTTGTGGAGCTGCCTTAAGAAACCATATGCCTTCTTCCACTTGTTCACCGTTTTCCGTTGTCAATATCAACATGCCGGAGTTGATTAACAAGACCTCCCAAGTATCCTCCAAAAACGCAATAAAGAAGCAAGAAAAACACTGTCATGTGCTGATACAACTAATTTTTTGCAATTTTCGAAAATACAAGTCACTGAAAATGAGACCAGCTTTCTTTACTATTCTTTGCTCATACAAAGAAAAAATTTTTAAAAAAAGAAAAAATAACAATAATAACAGAAGAATATTGAGCAATTTTTTGAAAAAAAAACACCGAAATTTGTCACAGAACAAAAATATGTGATTGTTATGTAGTTCAGTGCCCTGATGACAATAGTGAAAGTAATTTTTCGCTATTGTTGAAACTTTCTGTGTCACGTTGTTGCAGCACTTATCACATTTTGTTATTTTAGGAATATTATTGCCAGGTGGTGTGAGGAGAGAGGAGAAGGGAATAGCCACTTTGGGCCGGTTGCAGTTGCATTAGTCAATCTACTGGGATATCACACAGTATCTATGCTTGAAGTGTGTAAATTTGCTAAAGTGATGAATATTGTTTGTGCATATTAACGTGCTTGTTATAGTTGGTGAAGTTTAATTCACCAAATCTTTCCTGTTATGTTCGTGGTGACCTAACGACAAAGTCTCAACCACAACTCTTTTATCCAATCGTCAAAAAGGCATACGAGTTATTTTTTTAATCAAAGGTAGATGAGAAAGTGTTGTGCACAACAGAACTGTTGCTCACATTGCTCCCGCTATATAAGAGGGTTGTTGCATGGATCCCACCCATCTACGCCTTATGCTGAACCAGTTGTGGAAGGAACCTAGTGACTACATTACAGATTTCTATTTTTGCTAAGGGGTCATCCATAAATTGTGTAATGCAAATTTGGAGTATTTTGAATACCCCTTCTCCCTCCGTAAACATATGCTTGAACTCCCCTCTAATAATTATGTGGCTTGTGACAAGCCTGCCCCATTTATAATTTGTAACTAAAGGTGCTACAGAATGGCACAGACTTTCCTGTATTAGTATTCTATTTCCTTTCGTCTCTCCTAGCTATATGGATTTGCCAATACTCTTCTCAGCTGCCATCTGTTGCCGCCCAAAGTGTATTTTTTTGACATTTTCTTAATTTTTCGGTTTCCTAACAACGAAAATATTATTTAAAGACTATATATATCTATATATAATAAATTCATTATATTTAGTTGATCCCAAAGTTGAAAGGCACAAAGAGTAAGAAGTATTCAGTCGCTAGAAATTATTGGTGATCATAAGATTTTTGATGCTTCATTATTAGCCAGTTTGAAGTGAAATTTAAATTGAATTACGGCATTTATTCTTTGTGTGTGTGTGTGTGTGTGTGG